CCCCAAAACCCCAAAACCCCAAAACCCCAAAACCCCAAAACCCCAAAACCCCAATTCTGGATACTTTGGTTGCAAATGAATTATAAAAATAATATTTCTTAATTAACAAAATCAGGTAAATAATGTCGCTCACCGTCTAAGCACTTAAAATAATGGTCTAAATTAGGAGATAGATGAACCCACCGATTGGAGAACAAGCAAATGAGAATGCTGTAGTTGCCAACGGAGGAATTCTCTTATTAGACAGAATTCTTGAGAGCATAGGGAGCCTTTTTTCTTCATTAACTTACAAAGAAAAACCTAAAATGGGTGAGAAGATGCTTGTAAAGTTTAGAACAAGTTGATAAAGCGATGAAACAATTAGCTAGGACCCAGATTATCAAAAAGGTTGCAAGCTTGTACCTCTTCCATTCTCCTTATTATCACAATACTTTGGGACAAGAGATGGTGCAAAAGCCTGAAGCTGAAGAAGAAGAAGTTAAAATTAATAAAAACATCCATGAAAATTCAATTTGTGAGGAGTCCAACGAAGGTATGATTTGAATGAAAATTCTAGAATGTAAATCAGAAGATAGCACAAAAAGTGAAAGCTTGCTTGGATTCATAAAAACGACAAAATCTGAGAGCGTAGAAAGTATCGAATCCAGCCAGAGCTTAAGTAGAAGTCATGACTCTTCAGACAGTTATAATCCTTTTATTAATAATGATGGAGAAGAAAGAAAAGGTTGCTATTGCATATCTCCAGTTTTCTCTTTATATTGTATTTTAATTTCAGAATTTGTTATTAATAATCAAAATAGAGGACGATAGTTCATCCCACAACAGTGATTTTAGGAGTGGCAATTCAGACCCAGTCAGTTTATCCTTATGTTCAAGTATTTTATGTCTTAACCTCTAGGTCATGAGTCTGATAATGAGAGTTTAGATCAAGATAATGAACATAAAGACGAAGAAGATTCTTCTCATGAGGCGGATAGCTCCTCTTTCTCAGGTGACCTCATACAGAGCTATAATTACTAGAACATTTTCAATTATAAGATACAGAAACGGGGTTTTGGGGTTTTGGGGTTTTGGGG